CCACAATGAGACATTATTCTCCTTCTATATTTCAGGCCCAGCAATGTATAACTTAAATAGAAGCAACTGTATGACAGAAAGAAAGGGGAATGTATAAAGTACCTATGCAAAATAAAAAAGAAGACTGGTTGATTGAACTGCCTTCATTTTCATTTGAGAGAGAGAGTACTTGTCTGTTGACAGTTACTAAATAAACAGAAAACCTGTTCATCTGCAGAAATCCCCTGAGCTGGAAGAGTCTGGAGGCCAAAGGAGTGCTGGGGCACCATAGATAAACTTGCCCTGTTCTTTCTCTTCCCTGGCTACTGACTTCTTCCCTTGCTGGACACTAAATCTTGGGTTAATCCTGCATCAGAATCAGCACAGATGCCCATAAATTCTAACACTGCATCTGCTAAAGAGAGTGAAAGATCTTCCCAGAGAATTAATGTATATCCTTTTAGGTTGCAAATGGTATAGAAACAAATCCATCGCTCTGCTTCTTCTACACCATTCATCTTGGGCTACACTGAAATACCATCTTCTCTCTTAGCATTCCTTGTAGTAGCAAGCAAGTTGGGTGAATTTAAACTGCTTTGCAGTGTGGACTAAGCAAGTGTAGAAACAAGAGTTAAAGGTAGTGACAGTTGTCTCCGTTATAGCACAAAAATGCCTGTACTACGTTGGACCAGAACAGTCATTGCATGAGGCTCCTTATAGTGGGAACGTCCAACCAAAAATCAAAATTTCACACGAGTAGTTGCTTTGGCAACAGCCTGCTAGCAAGCTGTCATCCAGCAAGCTGCCAGGGAAAGTCTTCCTACCAAGTGGGGAGGTGTTGGCAGCTCAAACCCACAAGAGCAGAAGTAATGGGCCAGGTCTGCAGTCCAAGGCTGATGCTACGGCTGCCCAATGCAGCACTGATCACTGAATGTGTGTGTATCTGCCCTGTTTGGGATGCAGCTCAAGTGGATGCCTCTGAACAGCTTTTTGGCAGAAATCTTACAATGGTTTGCCCAGCTTTATCATTTGCTAGTTCCTGTATCAGTTCATCCTTGATACGGAGCCTTTTATGTCAATTCAATAAAGCTATTTCTAGCTTTCATCAGTTTGAGCCTTTTATGCCAGCTGCTAGTTGTCCAAAAGTTGCTTTCTTACTAGAAAATTGTAATTACTATATTTACCCTTCAATTTGAGATATTAGTTCATTTGGACCTGGCTTTTATTTTTGACCAATAGATCCTATAACAATCATCAAAAGCTTTTGTTCCATTTGATCAAAGTGGAAAAATAAAATGTAGAGAATCACCTCCATTTTCCTTAGCATCCCTCTGCTTTTTCAGAAGAAGAGCCCTATTCCTTTTCTGTTTTCTCTTCTCCACCCTCTCAAGCCTCATCTACTATTAAATCATATAGTTTGGGTTGCCATTATCTTCTTGGTATAAGCAAAGCCCTAATTACACTGCATTTCTGTATTAAAAGTACTGGGCAGCAGTGCCCTCTCCAGCCCTGCCATTTCTGGAATAAAACAGCTGCTTGAATAAAGCTGCCCTTTGTTTTCCTTGTTGACCTCTTGCAGGTTTTTCCACTCTGTCTTCACTTTTTTCCTCCCCCTTCTGGTTTCATTAAAAGAGAAGCTTTCATCTTTTGTTTCGGGAGGTGTGTGTTCCCATGTGCACATGGCCATGATGGTCCTTTTGTGCTGCTTTCATGTCTAACTCAACAAAAGTGGGAAACTTGCAGGGAACAAGGCGCGAGATCTCTAAGCCCCGTCCAACCCCGTGGCATTGTCCTGCCCATTACACCGGGGTTATAATGTCAGACTGCAAGCAAAAACATTCTGGAAGTGCACATAGATACAACTTTTTCAGATAATGACCATACTTCCATCCCTTCCGCTCATTTTGGGGCTTATCAATTAAGCAATTAATAAATAGCCAAGTAACAAGTAATTAAAAAAAAAAAAGAAAAATTACTGTTTTAGTAAGACTGGAATCAACAATGGGAAAATATAGGGGGACTCTAGGAAAACCTGTCAAGCTTAATTTATAAAAATGTTTTTAAGTTTATAATTGAACTATCAGAAGGCTGTTCTGAAATATCTTTCTGGCAGCACGTTCCCCAACATAATGTGTTGTGCCAGGATGTTTTAGTAGCCTCTTCTTAAAGACTTGCCATGAAATATCATTGAGTTATGATTATTTAAGACTATTATATGTGATCGCTTATCTTATACAGTTTCAGAGTGTTCCTAAGTTTTGTTAAAGTCAAATTCTGAAATACTTCTTGGTAGGAATTTTCCGTGGTAGTGGTAAGATGAGAAGAAAATACTTCTGCACAGGTGCAGTCTGATACACCATTCAAATAAGACCCACAGAGGCGTGATGTCACAAAAAGCCTGTTCATCCTTTATTTTTCATTAATACTTTTCTCTGTTCCCGATTTAAAGGCAGCACAGCCTCAGGGGATCACAACGGTCAGGTCAGCTCTCCCTGCAGCTTTCCCTGTTTCCAGACATGAAAATCCATTGCTCAAGCAAACTGGAGGTAAACTTCTTAAAGATGAGGAGGTGATTGCAGTGTCTGGGAGCACTGCCATCAGTAGGATCCTGAGATCATGGCAGGAAAAAGCTGGGGGGAGCAGCAGCTGGGGCAGGGCTGATGTGTGGAAGGGCTACCAGTGCTTGATCCTTCTCTGACTGATGGCACTTGCTGCTGGCCTGCAGCTCCTCCTAAGGATTGAGCAGATGTGTTATGCCATTGTGCAAGCAGCAGGAAAGACTAGGCAAAACAGATGAGAGGAGGATGGTGGAGCAAACCCCAGGGGAAACACAGCTGGCACGGAATGTGGGGCTGTTCTGAGCCTAAGAATTATCTTTTGAAAAAACCTACTCACAAGAATCAATGGGAGCAGGAGACTGCCAGTTAATAAAAAATGGCTCACAGAAGGAAATATTGGGGCTGAGTATCAGAAGCAACCTGATGGGAGGAGTCACAGTGCAATGTGGCATTGCCCAATTTCATGTACAAGATGTTCTCTGTGCCAAAGGTGGGGCTTTCACATTGCCGTGCCACGCTCACCTGCCCAGAGCATCGCTAGGTGTGCTTTTGCCACTGTGCCCTCACCATCCCCCTGTGAGCGGAGGCAAGATGAGAGGGGAGCAGATGTCAGGCTGACCTGCGGAGTTCCCTTGGGCTGCACAGCTCACCCCTCTGCCTGTGCCAGTGCAATGGTTCCCGTGGTGACGTGGCAGACCGCATCAGGAAGCTGAGCCTGGTTAAACACGAGCCCTTGCTCCTCCCCTTCGGCCCGTCTTGGCCAGGGGGGGCTGGTGGAGCCAGACTGGGCTGGCAGCAGCGATTCTCCCAATAGGTGCAGGTTGCAGGTGCCTGTGGTGTGTGGCTCACCTGCCATTGCTCTGGGCTCGTCAAAGCTAAGCCAGCTCCAGTTTGGAAACTTGGATGTCGTACTCTCATAACACCTGAGATGAAAAGCCCTGCTTACCCTGTACAGCTGGCATGTTCCAAGGAATAGCAGCAGTGCCTTTACAAACGTACTTTTCAACTTCAGCTGTTATCTTGCTTAGCCCAACGTTTCTATGGATCGAGCATAGAAAAGCTTTTTAAATAGTCAGACTAATGTTGCTCTAAAGAAGATAGTGGTATGTGTTAGCATGTGGGAGTGAAGCCAAACAGAAAAAAAAAAACAGAAGAAAAAAGCCACAGTTCTCAGAAATCAGCAAGTATGCCACCCTCAGTGCTGGAGAAGACAATCTCCAGTGCCTGGCAGTCTGACAACTGCTATCGCACCCGTCAGTCATTTGCGAGCAGTTCTCTGAGCAACCAGGAAAATCAGCGTGTCCCCTCCGGACCGCACCGGGGGCGACTCATGTGCTGCACAGTTTCTCGAATGTGTTCTGTCTCTGTTCTGCCAGCCTGGGTCCTCATCTCAGCTGACAATACTAATTAACCATTGCCTTGCCAAAGATGCCCCCTAGTCACGACCCAGCCTACAGTGTCTCAGGGACAGGGACTGCTCTTGTGCATGCTGGTCCCTGGAGGGACTTGCTGAGTACCCTGGCCTCTGCCCACATGCTCCTCTCCGGGATCATGTTCCCGATCCAGGGTGGAGGCGGACGTGCGCCTCTAGTTCGTCTGAACCGGCTTTCCCTATCACAGTGCACCGAGTGCCCTGCTCACCGGGCACCCAGATGTCATTTCAACAGCCAGTAATATTCTGGAGATGAAGCAAAAGTTTTAAAGCTTGCTGCTTTCCAGAATGATATGGCGTTAAATAACTTTCTGTGAGGGTAATTGCTGCTGCTTTAGCTCAAAAAGCAATTGGCTTTTGGAAGGTTGTTATTCATACTCTGGTTACAAAAGCAAATAGTGGGCAATTCTCACCTACAATGAGCTGACACGTCCCTAAGTGTCACAGGCGGGGAGAAACAATGAAGCTCACTGAGTTTTCAAGCTAGGGAAGGGTATTTGGTCACAAACAGCTGCCCTATCCCAGCCCTCCCTATGTTTAACCACTCCGTTGCATTTTTTTTTTCTCTTACGGGCAAATCATTTACTGTAATTTAATGATCGCAACCACATGAAATTCACTTCCTTGTGAAAAAAAAAAAAAAAAAAAAAAAAAAAAAGAAGAAAAAAAAGAAAAAAGAAAAGTAGGATTAAATGTCTCAGTTTATCTTTCCACACAGATCACATGGCCAGAGCTGGTTGTAAAATGTTGAAAAACTAGTTTGAGGTGTAACCAGTGCCAAGTGCTGTACATTTCCGTATTCTCCCTCCCTTCCTATCGCTCACAAAGATGTCACAGAAAGACAAGGAAGTTTGTTTACTCAAGGAGTGGATTTTTTTTTTTTAATTTAAATTTTAAATACCATCTATTACTCTTAAATTTAATCCTTTTAGACCTTGGTGGTGTTCTGGTCCCAACTCCAAAAGGAGTAGACTGAGAAAAACTTGTATGAAAGCCAAAATGTGTAACACAGTCACTTAATCAGTGTCTCAAAACCTCACACATGCTGCAGGGAGGGGGTCCAGGTCTCAGTCACCCTGGTGAAATTAAGAAATGCTAGGTGAGCTCAGCAGGAGATCCTCGAGCAGCACATAGGCTTTTTTGAAAATAGGAACAGAGCTCCCCCTGTTTTTGTGATATCTGTTCACCCTTGGAGCCAGGTAGTGGGCTCAGGAAAAGGCAAGGTGGATGAACCTGGTGAAAACCTGCCTGCCAGAGATGCTGAGGAGGTTGATGGTTTGAATCAGCATGTGTGAATTTGGGTCCTGAGTAAGGGTGATGGGTATAAAGGAGCTTGGGACTTGAGAGAATACAGTGCCAAACAGGAGCTGATTTTTCTTCCCAACTGCAAATTAGAGCAGATTTCCATGATTGCTTTTTCCATGATCAGTAGCTCATGTTGGCTGTGCTGGAAGCAGCTCCTGGGGTTTCACTGTTCCAGTGCTCTGCCAAGCTCTCGGCAGCTGTACAGTTGTTACTTGGGTGACAGCATTTCAGCTGCTGACCAGGATTTTGACCCTCTGTGTCCTGCATGAAGGTTGGTGAGCCAAGGGATCTGTCTGCCTGGAATGAAGCCAAGCTTTAAGGGAATATTTAGCTTATCCATGTGGCCAGAAAGCTCTCCTGCATGGGACAGCAGCCGAAAAGTCAAAGACTCGAGAGACTCAGGATGTCCTGTGTACAGCCAGTGCATGCATAATAAGTTTAATAAGTAACCCCTTGCTATTGCATGCCCTGTTGAGTGCCTGTAAGACACCCTGGTCCATATCCTACAGATTTGTTATAGGACTGAGAATTGCTTGTGGTAGTTATTGCTTCAAAGTTTTGGAACAAAGGACCTGCTCTAAGAGTAGGCTGGTTTGCCTCTGAGCAATTTAAATGCATATTTCTCTCTGCTAGTTAGCTTGAGGTCACTCCTGTGGCTTGTGTAGGCTGTTTGCAGGGATTTATTTCAGCTTCATGAAGATATTCTGGCTTACCTGTGGCTTCCTGCTTCCCACCTGTGCATGGATTGCTGGCAGCGGCTGAGCTAAGGCTGAACTTCCGTGACATTGCAAAAACACACAAGGATGGGCTCAAAGTGCAACCTATCTAGAAAAAATTACACGAGTGTGTTTGGAAAGAGGGAAAAAAAACTCGAACAAAAGCATATCTTGCTTCAAAGTAAAAGTACAATGGTGTCAGCCAGAACATGGAAAGTAACCCAGCTTCCTTCAGTGTGGCAACCACCTGCATGCAGAAGAGCAGGAACAATCAGGATGGGCACCAGACCACAACCCAAGTTTGTTATTTTGTCTCTTCAATGCCCTGGGGAAAGACAGCTGTGGGGAGTCCTGGGCAGATGGAGGTGAAGCCCTGGGGCCCAGCATGGGGCAGAACATAAACTGGCGCAGCCTATATAGATGAAGATGTCTGTCGCTATGCTGGGAAGACACCCATTTGGTGCACATGGGACAAACGTGAGCACATCTGAACATTTTTCCCCTATGAAGTTTTCTAATACAGACACAGTCCTTGACTGCTCACCTCCCACATGTGTGATCTGCAGTTTTGCCTGAGCGAGAAATGTGAGACAGAGCTTCTGTCTTCCTTGATTAGGAAACAAGTGAAGTCCAGTCCTGGTCTTCTGTCTGGAGAAAAAAAATATCTGATGTAATTCATCAGCTTGTCAGGAAATACTTCATGTGGAAATACTTCTACAGTACCAAATTTCCAAAACTTTCCATAGTCTCTTTCCTCTTTGGCAACTTGAACAATCACAATTGCATGGCACAGCCTGCCTTTGTGCCAAGAGGGAAGGACTTGGTGCCACAAAACTGCCTTTTTCTATTCCCTAGCTTGCTGCTTCTCCCTGCAACACCCTTCCAACCATTTTGCTGACAGGCAGGACTTGGCCCTAAAACTCAGTCAAGTATGATTTAGCATTTAATTGACACACTGGAGCATAAACCCTGACTTTTGCTGGCTTTTAGATGCACCGCAGAGGTATTTTCTTTTGTTATGAGGTAGGTCTGAAGTTTATTTATTTTACAGGTCAGCATGATGGTCCAGTTTTGTGGCACACAGTAGGTACTCAGGACCCTTCCAGACCGGATATGTTAGGGGTGTAACACCAGCCACAGAGAAGGACATGAGGTTCAGCATATACCTTTTTGGATGTATCAAAAGTGCATTTTGCATATACTTTGAGCTCTAATGTTTATATCAATGAGATGTTCCTATTTCAGAGTGGTGCTAATGCACTTGAATTTCTTGTTAATCTGTTCATATAGCAGTTGTATCACAGTTGGTGTTAATGGGTGGTGTTTCCTGAACCAAGTCAAAGATGGTTTTTAGCAGTTTAGGACAATACCAGCCAGGGAAGTGCACGCCTGCTCTTCAAGATCGCCAAGAAAGACATTCAAAAAGGGAATGGGATCACCTTGGCAGCATTTTGAGTTGTCACACTGCCTAAGACCTCAGCAGAGCTCTTGACATTCCCAAGGCAGCAAGGTCATCTTGAAAGAACAATTGCATTTCTCTGGTCTTGTGTACGTTAATATCCTGAGAATGTCTTGTATATTTCGACCTTACAATGAGTTAATCATTAATTTCAGAAAACTGAAGTCAGAAATCAGCAGTCTAGGAAAATAAAGAAATTATCTCATGAAGTGTATGTTTAAAAAAACCCGTGTAGATTAATTTTAATCTGGGTTAGCTTGGATAAAGGGAAAAGGAAAGGGCCAGAAACACATTTCAGTGTGGCACAGTTCTTCATCTCACTTGGAAAACACTGCTTTTTGTGAAGGGCTTGCCTCATGTTTGAACACCTGTAAAGGGCCATGGTTTGCTGGGGATTTCTTTCTCATCCAAATGAATAATAGAATCATTAAGGTTGGAAAAGATGTCCAAGATCATTGAATCCCACTGCTAACCTAGTACTGCTGCGTTCACTGATAAACCATGTCCCAGGTGGCACATCCACATGCTTTTTTAACACTTCCAGGGAATGGTGATTCCACCACTTCCCTGTGCAGCCTGTGCCAATGCTTGACCACACCTTCAGTGAAGGAATTTTTCCTAATAACCAATTTAAATCCCCTCTGGCACAACTTGAGGCCATTTCTTTTTGTCCTATTGCTTGTTACCTGGGAGAAGAGACCGACCCTCACCTTGATACAACTTCCTTTCAGGTAATTGTAGAGAGCAATAAGGTCTCCCATGAGCCTCCTTTTCTCCAGGCTAAATAACCCCAGCTCCCGCAGCTGCTCCTCATAAGATTTGTGCTCCAGAACCTTCACCAGCTCTGTTGCCCTTCTCTGGACTTGGTCCAGTGCCTCATTGCCTTTCCTGTACTGAAGGGAACAAAACTGAGCACAGGATTTGAGGTGTGGCCTCACCAGTGCCAAGTATAGGGGGAGGATGATCACTGCCCTGGTCCTGCTGACCACACTATTTCTGATACAGGCCATTGGCCTTTTTGACCACCTGGGCACACTAGTGGCTCATGTTCAGCTGCTGTTGACCAGCACCCCCAGGTCCTTTTCTACTGGTCTGCATTCCAGTCACTCTGCCCCCAGACTGTAGCACTGCCTGGGGTTGTTGTGACCCAGGTTCAGGACTCAGCACTTCACCATGTTGAACCTTGTACTGTTGACCTTGGGCCATTGATCCAGCCTGTCCAGATCTCTCTGCAGTCTTCCTACTCTCCAGCAGATCAACACTCCTCCCTAACTTGGTGTCATCTGCAAACTGACTGAGGGTGAACTCAATCCTCTCATTCAGGTCATCAACAAAGATATTAAACAGGACTGGACCCAACACGGAGCGTTGGGGAACACCACTTGTGACCAGCTGCCAGCAGGATGTAACTCCATTCACCACCATTCTCTGTGCCTGACCATCCAGCCAGTTTTTTACACAGTGAAGAGTACGCCCCTTCATGTCATGGGAAGCTAGTTTCTCCAGAAGAATGTTGTGGAAGACAGTGTCAAAGGCTTTACAAAAATCAAAGCAGACAACATCCACAGCCTTTCCCTCATACACTAAGTGTATGTACACTAAGGTCACCCCTGTTAGTTTCCTGGTTTCTCCTCCTGCCCTGTCTTGTACATGGATGTCAGATTTGATACCTTCCTGGCAAGTGGGACCTCTCTGGTTAGCAGGGCTTCTGGAAAATGACATAAAGTCATTTACCTCTGCTGCCTCACACTGCTCTTCTCGCCAGAGTTGGTATTTGCAGCAAATTTTCTTGAGGTGGACTTACACCAAGGATACACCCAGGGATTCTGGAGAGCTGCAAATACTGCCAAGAGGCACAGCTTAGCTTTCTGTACATTTGAAGCAAGAAACATGTTGAGATGAAAATGATGTGCCAGTCCCCAGTGCTCCTGCCCTGCAGTGAGGACATGCAACAGAGTTACAGGTGTTTGTGCACTGGGTGGATGGACAGCACAGAGGGATGCCAGCTTCAGCTCCATCCACATCCAGGCATTGACTCTAAACTGGATGCAAAAAGAGATTTAGGGAGATACCCAGTATGCATGCTGGGGAGGTCACTGTCCTCTGCAGGTGGTGGGGTGGCGGAGCCAATGGGACAGTTCATCTCTCCTCCATGCAGGAGCTCACGGGGATGCCGATTGCAGTGTCCTGCTCACCTCCTGCCCCAAACACCCTCTTCCCAGCTCAGAGAAGAGCACAGCCTTGGCAGAATGGGATGTTGCAATGAAATAACAGTCTCTGTTTTTAAAGAATGCTTTATTCACTACATCCTAGAAATGTACCGTAAATGGAGCAAGAACTAAATAAACTCAGAGGCTTCTGACAATACAGAGAAAAGAGATACAATAAAATATCTAAAATATCAGCTCTTTTGAGAATAAGGCACACTGGCTTTGTTTTATATATATATTTTTTTTTCCTTAGAATAGTTTGTTCTTAACCTAGAGATGTTCACATTTCAAGTTATGAGACTTACCTCAGTAGTAGTGTACATGAAATGGTTTAGAAGAAAGTGTAAAAGACAGGCATGGGCGGGAGGCTCAGCATGATCTGGCTGCCTGCATTCCCCAGGTCCTGCCTCCATCCCTGGGTACTCCCTGCTCCTGCCCTGACTAAGGCAGCACCCAGTGGTGGCCTGGGGCACATCAGGGTTTGCCCTTATTGGCTCCTTTCTCTTCCTGCCACCTCTGTGAGCAGCAGGACTCTTGTCCTGCTGGCAGAGAGGATTACTTGGAAGGAAGCCATCACCCTTCCTCCCTCCTCTGTGAGTCAGCCATGGCATGGGGCTGTAAGGAGGCCAGCAGGGGCCCAAAGTACTAGACTGCCTTTTCTTGCCCCCAGGGGTGTTTGTGCATGGCCTAAGGACCCATGGCTGAGCCGTGGAAAGCCTGGAGGACTGGAGGATACAGTGCTGGCCTCCTCCTGGGGGCTTTTCCCTCCTGCTCCCCAGGCTTTGCCCATATCTCCTCCCCTTCCCCTACACAGGGGCAGGGCCTGGGGGCTGAGGTCTGGATGTGCTTTCAGATGGGCAGGTACAGACAATAAAAAGTATCCCGGGAAGGGGCGTGGAAGGGCAGAGTCCGACCTAATGGTTAACCTCACAGTGCTTTTGGTAATGGATCGACAGGGTCAAGGGGAGCTCAGCTTGTCTGAGCAAGAGCACCTAAAATACAACTGCTCAATTTTGAGGCAAGCAGAAGAAGCGTATTAAAAAGGTCACTTAACTGAGCTGGATGCAGTCTGAGAGTGATTCAGTTTTCAAAATATACTCAATGCAAAACCCCTTTGGTAGGTACTCATACCACAAAAAGTAAAGGAACATTGTTTACTGACTCCCTGCTATGCACCTTGTGTCACCAGAGCTGTGTTTGCAGAGCTGATGCACTTCATACAAAGGGCAAGATATTTCTTTACCATTTTACTATGTTTTACATTCACTGCACTACTAAATAAAAGCCTTTAAACAGGCCACAAAACACTGCAATAATATATTTACTTCTTAATAAAACAAACTTTTTTATAATATCGCAATAAAAGGTTCTTGTTTTGTGGCAAACCACATACTATGTAAATTTGCAACATAAAATGACTTTAAAAATGTATATTAAAAGATATTTACAAGCTCTATGTCTTAAAATCATTGAGTCTAATCACTCCCGCCCCGATGTGCATGTACAACTCCAGTTGTGGAGAATGGAAATTAAAAGTGGAAGGGAGGCTGGGAGGGGGGCTAGCCCCTGTTTCACTAATTCCAGTATTACTACCACACCTAGTACCTTTGAAATTTCTCATGGAACATGATGGAGCAATAGGTAAGTAATGCTGCATATCGTCTCAGTGAGAGCATGGCTGCTCTTGACAGCATACATTCTTAGTCACTACAACATATACTTCAAAGAATAAAATAAAGAGCATTGAAAAAGAGCCTAGGCTTTATACTGGATGAAGATCTAAGTCAAGACACCTTGCGTAAAATATCAGCTACTCATTTCTGCACATATTCCAACTACAAGTAGCTTCAATAAATAGAAAATCCAGTTGTTAAGGAAAACTTGGAGCCTTTCCTTTGTTTAAGACAAGCCTGCAAATCACACTGTGAAGAGGTATGTGTGAGAAGGCTTTTTTTCGTTTTCTCTTTCTCCCAAACAGTCAGTA